CAGTTAAATCCAAATATTTTGTAATGTGCAATGCATGTATATATGCAATGCTTGTACACAAGAAAATCCATGGGAAGACTCAACTTTGATAAAGAACACCAAAATCTTTTTGAAAGTTTTGAAGACTGAAACAAATCAAAGTGAAAGACGCGAGATATATACTTGTTGTGGCAAGTTGTTGAAACCTTTTCCACACAGCTTAAAAGCAGAAAGAAACTGCATATTTTTATATTTTTTTTGAGATACACAAATTATGTGGGAAAAATGGGCTGGTATCAAGAACTCAATAACAGTCTGTCTACACCAGCTAGTGTCTTAACATTAAGTGACCTTTTTATGTCTTTTCCTCTTCTGCCTAGATATTTATTATTATACCTATGCCGAACTTTCCATAAAGTATGTATGGGCATAAGGAGCTAATGATATCAACAGGAGTTTGTGCAAAAAGGTGGTATTTAAAGTAGCAATCAGATGTCATATTTATTTATAAGTTTCATAAAGCATTATGGATTGTACAGTAGCTACTGACCTAAACAAGTGTAGTTTTTGAAAGCAAGAGATTTAGGCCTAAATCATCAAAATATTTAAGTATGAGCCTAACTTAAGCATAATCTGAATTATGGTTCAAGGCAGACAAACGTACATTTTTGCTATTATGGCATATAAAGCCTACAATTAGCCCTCAAGGTGACAATGAGATGGTTTTCAGCAGCCCAGAGTCTCAAACCAGGCTGGAGCTGTCCCCCTTACTGATGATGACAATTGTTGACTGTTGGCATGGGGACAGAGGCCTTCCACATGTTCAAGTTTATGTGCCATTAATAAAGTATGGGACAGCTTCATGGCTGGTTGAACATGAAATTGGCTGAACATGTGACATGTTGGCTTTTTAACACATTAAATGTACTATAAATGTAATGTCTGTAATGCCAGAGCCCATAATGACTGAAGATATTTTTGGTCTGTTAGGCTTCGTTTATAAACACCATAAACTAAGCCCTTCTTAAAAAAAAGAGCAAACAAGTACTGTTGTCTCCAGATCAATATCGGTGGAAGATATTACCAGACAATATTAGCTGCATGGGCTTCCTAAGTTTTCCATTGTTTTATTCAAGTGCAAGTCGTTGACATAATTTCTGATTAAAAGAAAATCTTGAGCATCATTTGGAACCTACAATTCTAAATGTCAAATAGAAATTTCATATTCTGAGAATATCAAACAAATATAAGTTTCTCTCAAGTCATCTCAGATTTCTAATATAAATGGGAAGGCAAAGAGATTAAAATAGCCATGGTAAAATTGTGACATGTTTGTACTCTAAAAAGCTTGAATGAATCCCAGCAATATGCAACAGACACCTAACCCATTATCATTTCAACCTGTTTTTCTTCTCCTCTATACTTAAATCCATATCAGTTTGCTATAAATTTAGTTTAGTATATTTTACAGCTTTAAATCTCAGTAGCTTTTATGGAAATTTAGTAAAGTGAAGAATGAATTTTTAGTTGTGTTACAAATATGCTTCTATAACTTAAAATAAATTTGTATGCTGGAATTTGTATAAGTTACCTGTAAAATAACTACAATTATACATATATAGATTTTATAGTTAAATATTTATATTAAATCTCATCCTGTTCATTAATATTTATTATTTTTCTTAATCCCTGATACTTAATATCCCTTCCAAAATGTTTGTTAGCATTAATTTAAGAACTCTGGATATTCTTTTTATCCATAGAATTATCTAATCCCATTTTTTAAAATTTTGCTATCATAGGGCCCCATACATGTCTGATACCTACTCTGACATGTTCTAATTAGAATGCATCAGAACAGACTCAATAAATCTAATTAGCACTCTCCAGAAGCCTAGAAATCACATGTATTCAGTGTCCCTTCACTTCAAAATGGTGGCAGAGGTGCTTTTACTAAAGCTCATCGAATGAACTTTAAAGTGCCCCACCACCATTTTGAAGTGTAGAACACTGAATACACAAGATGCTGTGGGCACTTTAATTAGTGGCTCCTGAAAGCCCAGAGCATGTGTAAAGTTGCCTATAGATTTCAGTTTCATCCTTTAGTATCAACTGTGCCACTAGCTCAAAATATTCCTACCTGTCCTTTGAGCTTGCATGTTGGAATTCGAACACCTGTTGTTTACAGCAAAAACTATTATTAAAAATATGAGCAATTGAATGAAGATTATATATATTAATAGCATAGGAGTTCATTTGCATTTTTAATGAACTATTTCAATTATTCTTATTTTCTTTATATGACTCATCATCATCAGAAGGTTTCTCCAAGTTCTTTTTATTACCATTGCTGTTCCATCTATTGCATGGACACCCACCAGAAGTATCATTTAATCAATCTTATTTTCCAACTCTTTTCCAATTCTAATTCATACCTTCAGATACTTCAGCATTTCCAAACTACTCCTATAATTCAGCAGCACTGGAATTACTGTGTTAGAAATAACAACTGCCATGACATAAGGCAGAGAAACCACAGAGCTTTGGGATATAATGAACTTTGTGCCTGTGTATAAATTTTACTGTTGCTCAAAGCACTTGTTGGATTTTGTACTGTGCTTCACTAAAAATGCTGCCAGTTTCACACATCGTTGCTTGAGAAACACTGGTTTAAACTACATTATGATGCACCCAAGAATGTTCAGCCATTTGAATAATTATATTGAATTACTGTTTTGACATTTCATTTTAGAGAAAACAAAAACAAACAAAGAAAGGCTGCAGCCAGGATTAACAGACCCTGGGACAAAACACAGAATCAATCATTCATCTGTAATTCTTGGCTGGTATTTCCAACAATTCCCCTACTCTTCCCATGTCACTGCTCACTCATTCCCCTTCTCCCATTCTCCCTAGCTTTTCCAATCCCAACCAACTTGTGCAGTTAGTTTTTAATTTCATTTTACTTTGTTGAACAGTTCAGTAACAAGTTATATTTATTACTTATCTTATATTAATTTGACCAGATGATCCCCAGATATGGATGCCATCAAGGTTAGAAGAGAAAAGAGAAGGGGCATAACAAAGCAGCCAAGTGGAGGGACATTGTGATCATGTGCCTGTGGTGGCAGCTGATAATTTTCCCATACCCCCATCACCAAGTCAGAACCCAGGGCAGTTGGGCTCATTGTCTCACCCTATTACACTAATGGCAAGAAAATTAGAATAGATGAAGGATCCAAGGCTATTTATTTAATAAAAATTCATCTGCCTCACTTCTCTCCCATTTTATCACTCCATTTTTCTTCAAATATTTTGGGGGATAACAAGGGTATGGTTCTTTGCTTATGTTATCTGGTCAGAGGACCTGGGAGCAGCTGAGGGAATTCTCTCATGGTCTTACATAGTAACTTGCTTGGAACTTGAAGGATTGCAAAATGGAAGAGTTTGGCATCAGAATGTCAGTCTGAACTCACCAAGGGTGCTTGTACACGTGATGGTCATCACGATGTACACATGACGAAAAGGTTATTTGGGTGGCTTAATGCCATCACACATCACAGGCGTGCTAGTTTTGGGGTTTTAGATTGATTTGCATTGTTGCAAACTAAACTGCATCAGGGTGTAGTTCAGTTTGCAACATTGTAAATTACAATGATGAAGCTGTCAGCTCACCCCCCACCCCTCCAGCTGAGAGGCAGGCAAGCGCCAAAGAAAAAAAAGAATTGGGCCCCTTTACCACTTCTGCCTTCAGCAGGTGCCTGCTGAAGGCAGAAGTAGTGAGGGGCCTGATCCTTCTTTTTTTCCGGCAGAGCTTGCCCGCCTCTCCCACATCTGGGAGTTGCCAGTGAGCTGAGTAGTACCTGAACTGTGGGGGGGAGGGGTGTCCAGATCCTTCCCTCTGTGGTAGCAGCATCCCCCCAGGGCCACCTGCATGGGCTGCAAGTGGGCTGGGTGATGCCCCAGCTCAGAGGAATACTCTGGCCTGATCCAACTGTTCCCCAAACCCATCCACTGAAAGTCCAAGGGGCACTGCTCCTCAGATGGGCTCAGGGGACAGTTGGATTAGGCCAGGTATTGTCTCTGAGCTAGGGTAGCACCCAGTCCACTAGCAGCCTGCCCGGGTGGCCCTGAAGGTGTGCCACTGCCATGGAGGGAAGAACTGGGGCCCCCTACAGCTCAGTGGCCACTCAACCTGCTGGCAGCTAACTCCCCCAGCCAGGGGCAGGCTCCGCCTGCAAAAAAAAAAAAAAAAAAAGGAGCAGGGCCCCTTTTT